GGCGTGGTGGGTGAAGCCACCACCTACAATGCCAGCATTCTGTATGAGCGCTGGTTCGAGACCTGACTTCTCCACTTCCGATCCGGCTCTCTATTATGGCCTGAGAAAACAGTGGAGGATGGCCCAAGTCCTTGGACCCCTGCACCCTTGTGGGAGATTGGGAAGAGGCTCCTGGCTCCTGATCAATGCAGCTCCGGCCATTGCGGCCAAGTGGGGAGTGAACCAGCAGATGGAAACTCATGGAAGCCCTCTCTCTCTCTCTCTCTCTCTCTCTCTCTCTCTGCCTCTCCTTCTCTCTTTGTGTTTGTGTTACTCTTTCAAGTAAAATGGATAAATCTTAAAAAAAGAGAGAGGCCGGCGCCGCAGCTCAATAGGCTAATCCTCCACCTAGCGGCGCTGGCACACCGGGTTCTAGTCCCGGTCGGGGTGCCGGATTCTGTCCCGGTTGCCCCTCTTCCAGGCCAGCTCTCTGCTGTGGCCCGGGAGTGCAGTGGAGGATGGCTCAAGTACTTGGGCCCTGCACCCCATGGGAGACCAGGAGAAGTACCTGGCTCCTGCCTTCGGATCAGCACGGTGCTGATCCGCGGCGGCCATTGGAGGGTGAACCAACGGCAAAAGGAAGACCTTTCTCTCTGTCTCTGTCTCTCACTATCCACTCTGCCTGTCAAAAAAAAAAAAAAAAAAAAAGAGAGAGAGAGCGAGAGAGATTATATATATAATGAAAATAATGTGGCTACAAAAGTCATCCCTAATTTGCTGACAGAGAAGCCACTCTTTTCCCAACTACTTATTAGATTTAATCAGATAAAACACAGGTTACTTTCAGTGTAAACTACTCTCCTTTAGGTTTAATATATACCATTTTTGGTACTCTGACAAGTACCAGCCAGTAACTAAATACATCATTTCGTTGAGAAGGAAACGGTCAGCATTGTTTCTTCTTCATTTTCCAGGTGCCCAGACTAATGATTTCTGGAGCACATTGTCCATTCTGTAGTTTAGTTATAACAGACTACCTTAGATCTCCTGATGTTGTCTTCTAAAACCAAGATATTAATATTCGGGGGAATACATCAGCATGCACCAAAACCCACGTGTAAAATGGTTCTTCTTCTTGACTTGCAGGCAAAACAAATTTTTACATTCAAAAAAGCATACCCTTATTGGAGTATGATGAACATTAATAACCTTTAAGCTGAAATAGGAGACCTCAAATAGAGTTTTTTACTTTTTTTTAGGGCTGTATGGAGTTAGGACTTTCTTCTGCTACTGGTGCTTCTTTTTAGTGGCTATGTTTGAATAGTACTGGTCTAAGTCTTCAGAACATGTAATTATTCAGAGTTGATGCAGATTGAAATACAGACAGAAGTCTTAATTTTCATTCTTTCAACACGTAATCTAGGAAAGAACAACTGTTTGCCCAGTGCTGGTCTCCACTGTCTCCCATCTAGTAAGAGTCACTGTCTCTTCTGACTCAAGAAAAGGAGGTTCCTTCTTTTTTTTTTTTTTAAGATTTATTTTATTTATTTGAAAGTCAGAGTTACAGAGAGAGTGGAGGAGAGAGAGAGACAGGCAGAGGCAGATCTTCCATCCACTGGTTCACTCCCCAAATGGCTGCAATGGTTGGGGCTAGACCAGGTCGAAGCCAGGAGCTTCATGGGGGTCTCCCATGTGGGTGCAGGGGCCCGAGGACTTGGTCTATCTTCCACTACTTTCCTAGCCACATTAGCAGGGAGCTGGATCGGAAGTGGAGCAGCTGAGACTCACATGGACGCCCATATGGTATGTCGGCCTTGCAGGTGGCGGCTTTACCTGTTAAACCACAATGCCGGCCCCAAGGAAGTTCCTACCCTCATATCCACTTTCTTTTATTCAGGAAGTTCCTTACTTTACCATTTGAAGTCCTCTGGGGCTGAGTACCCTTTAGGAAAGTGTTAGCATTTTACAGATCATTTTGATAGAATTCTCAGCATGTTGTTTGCTCAGCCAATGTCACTTTATACTTGACTTTCCAACGTTTTAAGTGTGGGAAATAAGTGTGTTGCTGATTCAAGTGTATCTACTACTGTGAACCATACATGCAGTTCCATGGTGCTTAATTTGTGAATCTTTTATGTTAGGGCTGCTAACTTACTGATCCAATGAGATCTAATCAGAAGCTGTCAATCTATTAGAAACAAAACAAAAAACCTTAAGAACATCTAGCCAAATCTGTGGGCTGCGTGGTGCAATTTAGCTCAAAGAGACAGGACAAGCTACTTAATTTCTGTATTTCCTAAATTATCTAAGTATTACCTTAAAGTTGGGTTGTGCTTCAGACGGGTGTGTTATTCACCTGAGAGTGAGGAATTTTCCTCAGCTCTCTAAATTATGAGGCTAAATTTCCCAAAACAGTTGTAAACTCTGCAGACTGCTTCAGGTTTTATAAACGTAACTGGAGGCTACTTAAATTATGCTAAGGAGGAAACACCTATCCTGGAACTAACATATATCAAAATGGGCCACAATTTCTAAATATTTATTTAGGTCTTTAAGTCAGTATGATTAATCCTTTCAGTTGTGAAACAATAAAGCAGTTATATAAGGTGAAGATGAATGATTTCCAGAAAATCTGGGATTTCTTCCTGCTAAAGAAAGAAGTTAATTGCTGTCTAGTGACATTAGGCTATGTCGATGTCTAGTTAAATAACCAAATCAAGTCTCTTTTTTTTCCCCAAAATGAGGTGATTTAAGCAAAAATGAATGGTCCAGAAGTGTCACTTCTTTGCTTAAATTGATCATATCATTATGACTTTAAAGACCTAACCAAAAAGGGGAAAGAGATTGTACTCAATGGATGGGCTCCTTTACATGTTAATTTTCATTGACTTTCCAGATATTAATGAATGTGTACTGAACAGTCTTCTCTGTGACAATGGACAATGTAGAAACACTCCTGGGAGTTTTGTCTGTACCTGCCCCAAGGGATTTATATACAAACCTGACCTAAAAACCTGTGAAGGTAAATGATATTTTTATTTTCATACTATATGCTTTGCTGCCTTTTGGAATATCATTAGAAAACTTGAAGAATAAATTGGATTCACTTCTATTTTAGACAGTTATGTCAGCTTAGTTAAAATTCTGTTCCAAACGGCACTTGTGTATGCTTTGTAAGCCACTGATGGTATTTACCCGACTAGCTGTTAGCAGTAATGCTGACCTGTTTTTGTTTCAGACATTGATGAATGTGAATCAAGTCCTTGCATTAATGGAGTCTGCAAGAACAGCCCAGGCTCTTTCATTTGTGAATGTTCTTCTGAAAGTACTTTGGATCCAACAAAAACCATCTGTATAGGTATTTATCTTACTGAGAATGATTTTTCTATGTTTATTAATGCTTGTACACTATAGTCAGCTTTTACTGCAAAAGAGTTGTGTGAATGAACCTTAAAAATGATCGGGGAATATCACAATATTCTTAGAATTGTATTTATGAAAAATAAAGTTTTTAAAAAAATGATCATTGTATGTTATTTCATATGTTATCTTGTAATTGCAATATGCATGTTTTAATTTTTGATATAAATTCCATTAACTCTGTTAATTATTATTATTCTTTTTACAGAAACCATCAAGGGTACTTGCTGGCAGACTGTCATTGATGGGCGGTGTGAGATCAACATCAATGGAGCCACCTTAAAGTCCCAGTGCTGCTCATCCCTCGGAGCTGCCTGGGGAAGCCCATGTACCATATGCCAAGTTGGTAAGAGGAACAGATGGTAGAATTCTTATGCCATTGCTCTGCTTGCTTTGCATAGAATGGGGAACCCAGTCCTTCTTTTTATTGGAAAATATCTAATTCAGATAACCTCAATGAAACAAATAGAGCAGAAAATAAGGAAAATGTGAAAGAGAAGAATTGTATATGATTTAGTTAATTCTTTTTTTAAAAAAAAAGATTTATTTATTTATCTGAAAGAATTACAGAGAGAGAGACAGAGAGACAGAGAGAGAGAGAGATCCTCCATCCACTGGTTTACTCTTCAAATGGCCACAACAGCCAGGGCTGGACGAGGCTGAAGCCGAGAGTCAGGAGCTTCATCTGGATCTCCCATGTGGGTGCAGGAGCCCAAGTACTTTGGTCATCTTCTGCTGCTTTCCCAGGCACATTAGCAGGGAGCTGCATTGGAAATGGAGCAGCTGAGACTCAAACCGGCACCCATATGGGATACTGGCACTGCAGCCAGCAACTTAGCACACTATGCCACAGTACCAGCCTAAGTTAGTTCTCCTCTAACTGAAGTGTGGTTAGCTTGTGTTGCTTTCTGAAGTACCAATTCCTATAGGCTGTGTCTGTCTCTGGAGCCTCATGGTTAGGAGTCCTTAGCTTTTTATGTGTGCAAATTTTCTTCCAAAAAAACTAATTGATGTAAAGGAACTAATATGCATGCCTTACCTTCATGAGGATTGCGGGTGAACTTCTAATCTTCTGGGAACCTGAGGTTTGAGAGCCTTACTCATGGCTTTGCTGATCAGGAGTTTGGATATGTGAATGTGTGAGTTTATTTGGTGTGAATGCTGCAGGGCGTGAGCTCTCCAAGTGCTGCACTGTATTTTCCATATTCCGTTTACAGTAATCCTACCATGTGATTCCCATCTGCAGGCCAATAGTAAGAGAGATATCTATATTCAGTTTCACTCTTAAGCTGTCACCTTTACATGATCTATGATGTATTTGCGTATCTTTTAGATATCTTTCAGGAATTGGGCTTTATCTGAGGAGACAGTTCATTATTATTCTTTCTCACCTATGCAACTTCCAAAACACTTTGTTATCTCGTGCTTATTCACAGCAACAAAATCTAACTCATGTTCCAGGTCTTGTTTCGTGTTTCTTACACTATGTCATAAGTACCAAGTCTGGATATTGTTATCTCAGATTTGTCGTGGTTTTTTTTTTTTTCCCACAGATCCCATATGTGGTAAAGGATACTCAAGAATTAAAGGAACACAATGTGAAGGTATTTCTGATTATTTATAAACCACACACTTTTGTGTGCATGAAGAATGCTCATGTTAACTTGGACTGGTCAAAATGGTCATGTAACTTCACAGTGAGAAATATGCACTAGAGGAAAAAAATAGTGAGAACTGCAGAACAGACAGATATTAATTTCACAAGCGTATCTCCGCTATTGCCAGAATCAGATGACTATGACCAAAGGACAGGATGACTAGGAATGTTTTAAGCCGACCACACTCTAGAGCAATTGTATTTCCAAAGTGCTAATTATCGGTCAAAAGAGAAAAACAAACAGGAAGTTTTTATGAGACTGTAAAATCTGCATTTTTCTTGGTTTGCCTTGGGGTTTTGTTTGTTTGTTTGTTTGTTTCATGGTCATGGATAATTTGGAAGTATGTACTCTCTTGCCTCCTTGTTGGAAGTCTACGTGGATTCTCTCCAGTGGCTATGATTCTTTCTCACGGAGTCCCACATAGACATAGGTCATGGTGACTAACACAACCTGACATGACACAGCAGCTGAAAAATTTTAAAAACAGCAATTAGTCCCATATGTGGGATGAAATACAGTTTTTTTCACTGTTAAAACAAAGAGGAACACTACAGCCCCACCCAAGATCTTGCTTTCCAAATGATGACTGAGTCCTTTGGACCTTCTCTGGTCCAGACCACTGTTAATAACTTATTTGACCTCAGCAACACATTTTGGAGCATAAGTGGCCACAACAACAACAACAAAACCCTGAAAGGTAGAGTCTACACTCCCCAACCTCATTTAGATCTAGCTTTCTTCCAAGGAAAGATTTAGAAAAAAGTTTTAAATGTTTCTGGCCTGGGAAGTTATTTATTATAAATAGAGACACAGTGTGTTTGAGTTTCTTAACTAATGCTCCCCTTTTTTTGGCATTAGCAAGTAAGTGCCTTTCTTTGGATTAACTTGATGGTGAATATTTTTCCAAATTAAGCGCAGAGAACATGCTGCTCTTCATTAAGCAAACTGGGAAGGATTGGTACCTTTGAAAGAGATGAGGCGGATGACGAGTCAATGAATATGAAAGTCTTTTGATTCTCCTCAATCAATAGGGGACCACCAAGGCATTGATCAAGCAGTCTGAGATCACTGCTGAGTTAGCACTAGGTGCACATTTTCTGAGACTTCTCAGGACTTCTGAAAAGAGATTCTTGACTGGTCCACATATTCTCAGATTGATCTTTTTCTAAGCTCGCCTTCAAGCCATTTCTTTGCTAGTTTGGAAGACTGGGTTTCTGTTTCTCCATTTACTTCCAGACTTCTGGTCTTATGCAGCTATGTACATGGTCCCTGGGAAGCTTCCCTGAGATGTCCACAGTTAGCAGAGCTGTCCCCCAAGAATTCACACCTGCTCCCTGTCTCTGCAACCCAAAAGTTGCATCCTGAGACTGATGGAGAAACTCAGGTTTCTTTTCAGGCAACCCAGACATACTACAGCAATTATTTGGAGAAAAATTAGTTTTGTCCCTAAATAGGGATAAATTAGGTTCAAATTGGCCTTGCTGCTGTGAGAATAATTATGAATTCAGTAGTGGGATAAAATTGACTATTATGTAGATATATTAACTTTTTTAATATGTGCTTTTTAAAAATGTTTAGATATAGATGAATGTGAAGTGTTTCCAGGAGTGTGCAAAAATGGCCTGTGTGTGAATACTAGGGGCTCATTCAAATGCCAGTGCCCCAGTGGAATGACATTGGATGCCACCGGAAGGATCTGCCTTGGTAAATATTGCGCTCATGATTTTTCTGGTAGTCATGTCTGAAAGGTTAATAAAACTCAGCAAGGTGAATCTGGGCATTTGGTTCCAAGTGCAGACACATGTTTCCAAACTCAGCATGTCTCATGGGATTCATGGTGAGGCCCTGGACAAACAGCCTTCCAAAATCAAGCTTTGTATCTGTTCCTTATAGAAAGAATACAAAGCATGTTAGTGAGGAGCAGTTTTAGTCCTTTATTATTATGTAACTCCCTTTAATCACTGCCATCACAGTTAATATTCTAGAGGTCCTAACTAGGCCCCTAGAAAACCATGTACTGTAGGGTACAAAGTGGGAGCTGGGAGAAGAACACTGTTACCACTTCATGGGAAGCTCTGGCCCCTGTTCTTCTAGGTAAGCCTTTCCATTGGGTGAGAAAGGCAGGTGCTTGCTGGAAATACCTGTTTCAGAAGTCACAATATCACTGCTGTGTACCTGGAAGAGCCCAGAGCTATTGGCATTGCCAGTCAGGGTTGGATTCTCCATAGCAAGTGCTAGTCCCCAACTTGGGACTTCAAGGCCAGTCATGTCATCCCTGTGTTATGGAAGAGAACCCTAGAATATAGAATAGAACTTTACAACATAGAATCTAGAATTCTTAGTCCTTGGAATAGGTCCTACAGTCATGCTTGTGGGTTCTAGAAGACTTATTCTGGTGTTGCTACTAATGTTTGACTGCCAGGAATATATCCGTTGGACCCCTTGGACTTGTGGTTTCTGAGTCCATGATCCTGGCAATGATGCTCACTTGTATTGTGTACCTGAAACTGTATTACTGTCAAAAGCATCCTTAGTGAAAACCTCTTCTAGGTGGTTTAAGAAGTGGAGTACAGTTAAAGGATTTTCATCAGTTACAAATTAGAACTGGCTGCTAGATGTAAAACTTTATGGCTTCTAGTGCAAGCATTGTAGAATGGAAGAATTTGAAAACTAGAGTCATTGTAACTAAAGACGTCAATTAATCCCATTCTGAGTCTGTTTCTTTGTTTAGGAGGAAACAGCATTTGATGAAAACCTTCCTGGTTCTTCAGTTGGAAGATACTCCAGTGTTTAATTTAGGATTCATTTAAACAATATCCATTTTAATATAGGCGATCTAAGTATAAAGTTTTCAATAAGGTTTCTAATGCTAGCAAAAGCTCATGCATCTGAGGGAATGACAAATGATGGCATTGTGAAGGAGAAAGAGAAGAAAGATGGGTCTTGCATTTTAATTACACCGTACCAGTGTCAGATGCATAATCTCACTGAAGCTCCACAGCACCTCCTGAGAGATGGTGTAGCATCAGATAATAGATGTGGAGATTCAGGTTCAGGGATAATAATTTGTCCAAGACAAGCAACTTCATTGTGCAACAGGACCAACATCCAGGTCTTCTGGCCAGTGATTTGTTAGCCTTTCTACTACTCTTCCTCCTAATCCCACAAATTTGGGGTTGGGGCTGGAAGTGTCTCTGTGTATCCCCAAAACTGTGCACATAAGCATATGTATTGGAAAAGAAGAGTGAGTAGCCCATTCTGTGCTGTTTCTCATCTCTAATCTCAAGCAGGGCAGCCTTCATTCTGGAGTTCACCATTCCTCTCTCCAAATATTAATGAGGTCTGAGGAAAAAGCAGGTCACTGAGCCTGTGTTGCTTTCAGCTAGAGGGAAGTGGCCGAGGCGTCCCAGACTGCATGCATGGGTGGTAGGCGTGTTTGTCCAGGGGGAAGCACTGTGGGACTTGTTTGAATGCTGCACTTCTTGCAGAAATATCAGAAAGTAGAAAGGGAGCTTGTCACAAGTAGGGGATGTAAATATGGGCTGCCAGAAAGCAGTGAGTCTATATTAGACAAGAATACCCACCACCTAGTACATGAATTCCAGATTAATACAGATATCGACAATTATCGTGTTTCTCATACTTTGCCCAACAAAAGTTGCCAGTTGGGGGCCGAGAAAACAGCAGCTCTCCTCAGCCTCCCTCTGTTTCTTGGGACAGACATCCGCCTGGAGACCTGCTACCTGAGGTACGATGATGAGGAGTGCACACTGCCTGTTGCCGGCCGTCACCGCATGGACGCTTGCTGCTGCTCCGTAGGGGCGGCCTGGGGTAGTGAGGAATGCGAAGAGTGTCCTATGAGAAACACCCCTGAATACGAGGAGCTCTGTCCCAGAGGACCTGGCTTTGCCACAAAAGAAATTACAAATGGGAAACCTTTCTTCAAAGGTAAACTGTTGTCAGCAGTTGGTTGTTCAGAATTCTAGTGATAGAGTGGCCTTAGCTTGGGTTCCCGTACAGTTTTGTGTTGGCTGCTCAGGTTCACACACTGTCTCTCTTGTCGACCTGGACCTTGTTATTATAACTTCATATCTAAATCAACTTATAAAAATGGAAAATAAGCATATCGATATTATTTATTTATCTCTGAACAAAAATATAGACTTTATTTATTTATTTTACTGAGTGGTTCAAGAATCCTCAGGGATTGAAATTGTTCTGTCTGGAGAGAGATTCTCTAGATGGCCGTCTTAAATGTCTCTTAAGCATATTCAAAGGAACTTGAATAATTTGCTTCCAAAGGCTGTGGCAATCCTTACCACTGAAGGTTTGGTCAGTGTTCCTAAGATTTGATCTGCCAATTCCAGGTGTCTTGGCATTATCTAGAAATGAACCTCTGTTTTTGGGCCTCAGGTCTTGCTTTGAAAAGACTCCTATAAGGAGAAACTTAGCTGATATGTTACATATTTGCAGTCCTCTGCAAGAAACTATTTGCATTATGTTAATGAAACCTTAATGGTAGGTGATATTGAGAAAACATCTTTTAAAATAGCACAAATTATTTGCAAATAATTTACATTTTAAATAACATCTTGGAAGTTCTTATAAGAATGTTTATGTATCTATAAGCATGAAAAATCATTAAGTGATCATTTCATTTTGCTGTACATTCCATTGGTTGCTTTGGGGGCAATCTATTTTAAGCATCTTCTGTGCATTTTAAGGATAAACTCTAGTAATGTAAAACAGTTATTCATGCCATTCAGCAGATCATTGTTAAGTTTTCATTATGTGTAAGGCCCTGTGCTGGGCTCTAGAAGTCCAAGTAAACACACTCTTTGCTTCTCTAACAGTGCTTTCTAAAATGTAGATATTAAAATGGCTGGAAATGTTTGCCAAGTCCTATTTCTCATGGATCAGTTCTTTGAAACAAGTATTGCCAAGATGTTAAATCAAGACCATCCAACCTTCTGAGTTTAAATAGTGGGCACTGAGCCCTCCTCGTTGTTTGCTCATAGCTTTCCCCCATTTTATTTTTCTTAAAGATATCAATGAGTGCAAGATGATACCCAGCCTCTGTACCCATGGCAAGTGCAGAAACACCATTGGAAGCTTTAAATGCAGATGCGACAGTGGTTTTGCTCTTGATTCTGAGGAAAGGAACTGCACAGGTGGGTGCATGGGCCTCAGGGGCCAGGGGAGGGGATGTCCTTTAATATTCTTCATTTTTGCTGTGCTGATACCAGAATTAAGGCAGTCCTAACACTGACTTGCTGCCACTTGCTCCTTCTGTGCAGACATTGACGAATGTCGCATATCTCCCGACCTCTGTGGCCGAGGCCAGTGTGTGAACACTCCAGGGGACTTTGAATGCAAGTGTGACGAAGGCTATGAAAGTGGATTCATGATGATGAAGAACTGCATGGGTGAGTCTCTGGCCATTTGGTCACTGGGGGAAGAAAAGGATTCCCAGAAGCTTGAGGTTCTCACTGCTGCCCTGGAGTGACCAGTGTGTCGGTAACTGATCTGCAGCAAAGGCAGACTGACATGCCCAAGGAATGAGAGAGTTCATGCTGTGGGGCTATGGGTGACCTTGGAGGCCAGTTGTGGGTCCTTGAGAAATGGGCTTTAGCACCTAGAGTAGCCAACCTAGGGAAGGGAGAACCTTTCGAGTGTAAACTGGAGAAGTCCCATGGCAAGGTTTTTGTCCAACATTTCTAGGACAGGAGATTGATGAAGCTGATTGCCTTGGATCAGGTTTCCTAGAAACAAAGTCTAAAGTGGGGATTCTTGCAAAAGTGGTTTTGATTTTGCTTTGTTGTTTCTTTGTGAGAGAGTATTCTCAGGAGGTATCTATTAGGAAGTGAGGGAAGAAGGGCGAGGCAAAGGAAGAAAATAAGCTAAGAGCTAGGCTGCGTTTCAGTCTTCCTCTGACCCCACAGGGAGCTCTGAGAGTATGTATGGTGCCAGAGTTGTCCTGCCATGTGAGGAAAGAGGTCAAGGCTTAATGCTCCTATGTTATTTCCATTGATTGTTGGTCTTGGGAGAAGGATATGGTCAATTATGTGAGGCATTTCTGAGGGAGGTGGGTAGATATCTCCAAGAAGGAGCCCGAAAGTCCTTAGCAGCCAAGACTCAATGGGGAATGGCTGCTGCGCCCTGGCCAAGGGGATCACAGCACCACAGATATCTTCAGTATGTATCCTTTCCACGTTGCAGATATTGATGAGTGTCAGAGAGACCCTCTCCTGTGCCGAGGAGGTGTGTGTATAAACACGGAGGGAAGTTACCGCTGTGAGTGCCCGCCCGGCCATCAGCTGGCCCCGAACATCTCCGCATGTATCGGTAAGAGGGGGCTCTCAAACCTCTGGCTTGGCTTAAGTTGTTTGGCCCCTGTCTGTGTCAGAGTCAGACACTTATGCTTGTACGTTTGCTCCTCTTATTCTCTAAACAGATATCAATGAGTGTGAGCTGAGTGCAAACCTCTGCCCCAATGGCCGCTGTGTGAACCTCATGGGGAAGTATCAGTGTGCCTGCAACCCTGGTTATCATTCAACTCCTGATAGGCTGTTTTGTGTTGGTAAGTTTTACATGTAATTTTATATTTTCTTTCATTTTGTTGCTTTCTAAAAATGCCCAAGCAGAACTCTGCTCTCATCACTAATTACTTCTACTTGATCTTTCTTGTTTCCCTATAAGTAAAATTATTTTGTTAGTGACTCACAATCTTTAGCTCTCACTTCCCTTGTCTAAAGAACGAGATAAGAGAAGGATATAGAAAGTTTAAGCTCTAGCAGGTATAATTTGACCCATGCTGTTTTGAATAATAAACAGCAGCATATGCTTTGCTTATGCACATGCATAATAGGAAGAGAAATTAGCCAATAACAACTAACCATCTGAAATAAAGTAACCAGGTGACTCGTGGGAAAGACAAAGCATAGGGTGAGATCTTTGCTGGTAGAGGGTTTAATTCAGGTAGAAGATTTCAAAAAATGGCTCTTGGAAAGAACGCCATGGAATGTTCATACCTTACATTGAAGTAGAGATCATGTCTGGCACTCCTTGAAGATAGGTTTTTGTGGGACAAGCATTTTGCTTTGTGGTTGGCCTTCTGTAGATTTAGTCGTGCTGTGAAGAGTGGCACAAGAAAACCCTGTGGCTTTATTGTGCCCAAAGTCAAAGTGAAACTTTGTAGAAACTGCCAGTTTTTGCCTGGTTTGGGGTGTACACCATGTGGAACTGCCAAGTCTCACATGGTTTCCACTCAAAACCATAAATAAGCCCAAATTCTTCTGAAACATGGCCCAGGACAACTCAGAACTGCAACTCAGGTTCTTGAAAAA